CTTAAGGCACTTCTGAAGAGTCCAGAATTTGGAACTGTAAGGGGAAACGAGCACGCTGGGAGCGTGATCAGGAGTTGCTCAAACTTGTGCACATAATACTTTGAAACTCTTTGTCAGATAGAGGCAAGAAAAGCACGTTTGCCACAGTACTTCATTGAAGTTCTGAAAAGGGAAATAAATTTTTCATATCTTTATTGTACCACCCTTATCTTTATAAAGCAAACCTGGGTAGATCTTGCCTTTGAAGGGCCTCCGCAGTTTTATTTTTCTGTTAATTCTAAATCGAAGCAGAGTGGCAAAACTTGATCACAGAACGCAGTAGGCTGGGTTTGTTTAAAACTGCTCGATACTGGTATCAGTTTATTGACTGTGGATTTGTTCCTCAGTTAACAGCGCATGTGATGGCGGCAGCTAATGCGGTTCAAATCACATTGGCGTGGCTTTGTTAGATTAAAATGTGATACACATGCATGTAAAGATGGAATTGTTTATGACCCTAATTTGACAGCCAGCAGGTACAGACTGATCAGGCTGTCAGGGCAGGAGCCGTGTTCTTCAGTCAAGAATTTGTGTTGAAAATTGTGTCATGAGCTTGCAAAGTGAAGGCGTAAGCCCAAGCCCTTAGATCATATCTCTCCATTCAAAAGGGAGAAGGCCATTTGAGTTAAGTAGGTGCAGTCTGTGAAATGTTCTGAGAGGAGTAAGCGGACATGCACATGATACTTGATAGGAGTCAGTTTTACTAACAGAATGATTTTCAGGTACCTAAATCAAAACTAAGGGTATTTTGTAGGAACACTTCTGTTCCTCACTCTTTGAACAAAAAAGCTGCTATTGATTTTCCTTTGTAAGATTCAAGTAGGCTTCCTACCTCATTTAGATAATGTTGAGGCTAGCTGATAAACTTTAGTTTCCAAATGATTGTATTAAAAAGTGCTTAGTGTTTCTAAGAACCTGTGAGGGAGCTGTTATGCAGTGAGATATGTAATCTGGGTGAAACGGTCAAACCTGGCAAAGCATTTAACTCTTCAGCTGAAATAATTTTCTTAAGGCTAACAGGTATGCCTTGCATTAAAAGATTTCTTGATTTAGCTTAAAGCTCTGGACTGAGTATCCTTTTGCTTCAGTTGTAAATGAGGAAAAGTTGCACTGAAGCTAGCAAAGTTGTAGTGGTTTAAAACTGCTGTAAATAAGATCAGAGTTAAGCCAATAATGAATCTCTTGAGACTAGAACTGTGCTAAACTCTAGACACCTTTGAGCTATGATGTTAGAGCCCATTTCTTAAGAGGTCAGGATTGGCTACTCAAAGGGCACCTGCTTCCAGTGTGGACTTCAAAACCTGAGCAGATCACAGGAAAAGGCTGTGAACTGTGAAACACAGCTGCTACTGTTGCTTAAACAGAAACTTCTTCCTAAGTGTCAGTTGACTGCAGCTGCTATTTTTTAGTATAACTACACAAGTTGAGACTTGCTTTAGATGGCCTAAAAGACTGGAGAGACTGAGTGTGGAAGAAGATTGCCTGATATTTTGAAGATTGAACTACTTACACAAGCTGGTATTACTGGCTCCAGTATTGATACTTGTGGCAAAGATGATCATGTCCTTAAAGCTTCTAATTTTGCCTTCCTTTCCATTCTCCAGGGAAGAAGTAAATGACAAATTACGAGACATGCCAGATGGAACGTTCCTGGTGCGTGATGCGTCAACCAAGATGCAAGGAGACTACACTCTGACATTACGGTAAGTGTTGAGCAATTGTCATCCACACGGTAAATACCTCGAGTAGCTTGTTGCTACACCAGTGACAGCAGTGGCTGTGAAAGCTGACGTGGCTCAAGTTGAGAGATGCTCCCAAAGGTACTGGAGATCACAGAATGAGCAAATAGCCAGGTCTGATAGTCAGTTCTGCTCTGTGCATTGAATCCTGTCCCTTACTATCAACTACTGTAAGCATCTCAGTGTAGATTAGATGGGACTTTGAGAGCCACTCAGGAGTGCTTCATAGTTTCACAACTGCTAAGGTAAAAAGGTATTTATAAACTAGGGCTTTGATTAATGGGACTGTGTTGAATATCTCATCAGCATGCAGCTCTGGGGAATTGAAGACGGTGTCTTTGTAAGAAGAATATCTTGTGCTTTCTGATCTAAAGTTTAGGAAATATTGAGTTGGAGCCATGTTCCTTTCTTCATTAGAATTGTTTGCGAGTGGCAAACTTCCCAGAGCTACTCCAGCCCTGTCTGCTGCAGTTAGGACAGCAGACCTCATGTGACTGCTGGTGCCTTGCCCAGCCTGTCCAGCCACTTGCCTCTGCCAGGCTCCCAAGAATGGTTGTTAGAAGCAAACAGGCGAGGCACATAAGCCACTGCCCCTGTAGCACACCTGTGGTAGTTACTGTGATAGAGTAGATGTTTGATCTTGCTGTGAAATTCCGTTGTCTTAATGGCAGGTTTGACCCCAAGGGAGCAGTTTAAATTCTGCTTTGATTTCCACCTTGAAGTTCACAGCTTGTGCACTAAGGTTTGGCATGATTTGGTTATTTTGCTGAATGCAGATGTCTTTAGGAACCAAAATTGAGAGTGCAGGAAGGACAGGATATAGTCTAAACAGTCTGCTGGTGAAAAAAGGAAGAAATAAGCACTGTATTTGTGGAAACTGCTAGAAAGTATAAATCTGGATAATGTAAAGTCCTAAACTTACAACCATCTTGTAATCCTCAAAGGATTTTGTTTAGGTTCATGTATCCTGTATTAGCATCCATAACTCAAAAGATTTGCTAATCACTGTATAAATGTATACTCAGTTGTACACTATTAGTGACCCCAAATTGCAGGAAACTGTGGGTTTGGGTTTTCATACAGCTCCTTGATTCAGCCTTCAGCATCCTCCTTTTCCCTTGCAAAACTTCTGGCAAAGCTAGATCTTAAATACCATAAGCTGGCTCCAGAATGAACACATAGGAAGAGTTTTGCTTTGGGCTTTGCTCCGGTTCAAATAATACCTGCTGATAATTCTGTGTGTCTTGACTCCTAAACTACTAGGATCTGCTGGTGTGTGGAAAGTCACTATGAAGGTGTGTGGTGTCAAAGCCGTGTGCCCAGGAATGTCACTGCTGTCTTTGTTAGCAGCTTTAGTGTTGAAGAGGGATTAGGAGGTACACAGTAAAACCTCTAAATGCCTGTACTGTTTTACAGGAAGGGTGGCAACAATAAACTGATAAAGATCTATCATCGAGATGGAAAATATGGCTTTTCTGATCCGCTGACGTTTAATTCAGTTGTGGAACTGATTAACCACTACCGCAATGAGTCTCTTGCTCAGTATAACCCAAAGCTGGATGTGAAGTTGATGTATCCAGTGTCCCGGTACCAGCAGGTAGGATCTTCATTGGACCCCCATAGCTATTAATGCAGGCAAGAAAAAAAGTTGCAAATGTGTATATGATAATGTGATTTTGTTTTCTCTGTGAAGCCTATTTTTTTTTTAATTGAAAAAAATTTGAATTTTCACATTTGACCTCACTTTGCTTGTAATAATGGGTCTTCCGAATTGTCTAGTCATTTAAACTTCTTCATTTTATCAAGTTGCTCGTCTCCATCTGAGCAGTCCAGTAGAGAAGTGAAACCCTGACATAGAGCAGACTTGAGTCTCTGAGAAGCCCTTGTTTCCAACCTTCCCCACCACCTTTGGACCCTCGTGGACCCTCAGGGCACTGTTCTAGACAGTTGCCCTTGAAACACATATGAGCCATGCAGCTGTTCTCTCTCTGCATAATCATCTGTATTTTTCAAGAATATTTTTTTTACATTTTATTTAGTAGCCTGAGACATTGTCTTGCATTAAGGAAAAACCACAGAGCTTTTTGGAAAAAAAAAAACCCTCTGATTTTTAACTTCCTCCTTTCTCCAATAGGGGATGGCAGTCCTAGACCTAAGCTGTAGTGTGTTTTTTGGAAGCTTAATATTTTGGCATAGTTCTTTGTGTCCCATAGTTCCAGTTCCTACTGTCTGTAAACTGTGGAACTTGTTGCATGGAGAAAGGGGGATTTAGATACAATGTTTGTGTTTTGTAGAAACCTGATTTTTAAAATGGTGCTAATAGCTGTAAAATGCAAATGTGCATAACTGGACAAACAAATGCTCTTAAGGAAAAGCTGCTTTGCTTGAAGACTTAATAGTTTTTTTGTATGTACAGGATCAATTGGTGAAAGAAGATAATATAGATGCAGTAGGTAAAAAGCTTCAAGAATACCATGCTCAGTATCAGGAAAAAAGTAAAGAATACGACAAACTATATGAAGAATATACCAGAACATCACAGGTTGGTTCTACTTTAGCTATCTGTAGAGTCTGTTTCTTGTTGTTTAAAAAGTAAAGAAAACTATTTTAACCTGTTATGGCTAATAAAGGCAGTCCAAGGTCAGAAAATACAAGGAAGAAGCTTAATAAATTGTGGAATAGAGCAAGGTGACAGTAACGGTGAATATTACTTGTTGCTGATAGACCTACAGGTATGGTGTAGGGCGAGGAAGAAAGAGGAGCTGAGCTTCCTATATGAGGTAGAGTAGTGGAGAAAGCCATCACCTACAAGCTTTGAACCGCAGACTTCATCCTTGGCTGCTGAGTATTTCCAGCTGCTGTATGCTGCAGTGAGAATTGTACAGGGCTTTGTCCAGATTTCTTCTGAAATCATGTGCAAATCAGATACCAGATATTATGCATTAAGGAAGCGTGAAAACAGTCTTTGGACTGCTTCTTGTAAAATAGGATAGTTCGTGTATGGGGAGAAGGTTTACTGGCAGTTTTCCTGCAAACTAAGATGGAAAATATGACTAAAATATTTGAGGGGTTTATAGCCTAATAGAGAGGCTGTAATGTGGGGGGGAGGGTAGACTTACAGGGAGTAAATCTTCCCTGTACTTCGCCGACTCCACTCAGACATTTGACTAAATTTAAAACTGATTAATCACATTTTGACTTGTAGGGGGAGAAAAGTTCATCTTCTCAGTCAATTTAGGGAGCATAATCAAGTCTTGCATTGTCATCTGTATCATGAAAAAATGATGAAGGACTCTTTCCTTGCGTAGGAAATTCAGATGAAGAGGACCGCAATTGAAGCGTTTAATGAAACTATTAAGATATTTGAGGAGCAGTGCCACTCGCAAGAGCGGTACAGCAAAGAGTACATCGAGCGGTTTCGCAGGGAGGGGAACGACAAAGAAATTGAACGGTGGGTGCTCAAGTCGTGTTTGCTTACTAGTGTCCACATTGACACTCCCATGAAATGCTTTATATAGTGTTGCATCATATAAAACATTTTGTAAAGTCAGTATTTTCTCTGAGACCTTCCCCCAAGGTGTCTGAACCTTGAGTAAAGCCCTCTTCTGTCAGGGACTTGCATTGTAGGCTGAAGAGTTGGGAGATCTCTGGATTATTCTCTCTTAACTTCAGTAAATCAAGGTACTGTGACAAGGATCAGGAAGTAATAGTTGCGTTTGCTTATCCCAGTTCTATTTGGATTTGCTCAGAATATAATTCAGGAAAATCTTTACTTGTAAACTGCGAAATGGATGTAGATCTGGTAAATCTCTCAGTGCACAGTCATTTGAGTCACTTTCAAAGATCAGTATTTAATTGCCACTACTTGGTAGGGGGTAGTGGTCATCTAACAGAAATCCAGTAAGAGCCTCGTTTGAAATTGCCCTTCTGTGAAGATAATAGCAGAAAAAAAAAGTATCTGGGCTTTTGAAGAAATGCTGAGTATAGTGCCTAACTTGACACGGTGCTTTGAGTCATGGTAGGGTAACCTTAAGGAGATTTTTAGACTGAAAACAGTTCCCTGTAACGATCTTGCTATGTGTTTGTGGTGCTTCATTTTGATTGAAGATCAGTCATCAGGGGAAATACGTTATTTTCCTGAATTGTACCAAACCTGCTAGCTAATCTTGAATGAAGAGACAGGCACTGTTTGTTACTTCCTGGTAGCACTCGATCAGTAATTGAATTCTGCATTTGAAATCTTGCTGGTACTGATACCTATGGTGGGATGACATAATTGATATACCAAAAGTGAATCCAACAGTGAAGGGGGAATCTGCTCTACCTTACCCTACAGATAACTTGTTCCTGTGTCTTTGCCAGAAGAAAATACATTAAGGTAAAATGAAGGTTCAGACTATGCAAAAGGGTGGTAGGCCTTCTGGCAAGAGGTCTTTTCTGGTAATGTTACAGTGATTTTCATGTTCAGATGAGGTGGTCAAAGGGAGGAGCTGCTGCTGTGGTAGTCCTTGTGATACTCATTTATTTAAGTGCTACTGGTAAGGTTCAGTCCTTCTAGACGGGTTTGACCTCACCTCTCAAATATTACTTGCTTGCAGGATAATGATGAACTATGAAAAATTAAAATCACGCCTGGGTGAGATCCATGATAGTAAAACACGCCTGGAACAAGATTTGAAGAAACAAGCTCTGGACAACAGGGAGACTGATAAGAAAATGAATAGTATCAAGCCTGACCTAATTCAGCTCCGCAAAATCAGAGATCAGTATCTTGTGTAAGTAAGCCTGACCTGTACCTCAGAATAATGTCTCTGATGGAAACAATCATTAATGAGGTTCATCAGGATAATGTGAATTTAATTTTCTTTTCATAACCAAAGTTCTGTGAGTGCTACAGTACAACATTCTGGCATGGGACCTCTGAGTAATTGGTTGGCCTCTTTGTAACTTCATCACTTAAAGTCTTAGAGGCTGCCACAACTATGTACACATTCTGCAACTCCTATAAATAAAACATTTAAAATAAATGAGTTATAAACAAAGCCTGTACCAGCTAATGCAACAGAGGTTAGTACTTTTTGTGCTAGGTGTGGAAGATGTGGCTCATACTCACCAGTTGCAATACCCATTTTGTTTTCCCAAGAGGCAGGCAGCTGTCACAGTTTGTATGCCACTTCCTTTCTGAACTGCATTGTGCAGAGGCAGTATCTCTTCCTCAGCTCTACCTTCTTTCTCCGTTTAAGACACTGCTTCATGGCTCCTCTTTGCTATATCCAGTAAAGGAGTTACCTCAGATGATGATGCAAGGAAATGCTCTTGTGGAGTCTATGGCCTTTCTATGGCTTTTGCTACTGGAGAATGAACTAAGCTCCAGATTTTTTTCTTTGTGGGACCTTGTGTCTGAACTTCAGCTTGCTCAGTAAGGAAAACTGTACGTGTGTTCTGAAGTAACATATTAATGTTCTCTTCTGGCAGATGGCTCAATCACAAGGGGGTGAGACAGAAGCGAATAAATGACTGGCTGGGCATCAAAAATGAAAATATTGATGAGTAAGTGTTATTATATGTATGATTTTCCTGAGAAGTGTTCCATTAAGTGTTTTCTCTTTTGGGGGTTGCTAATACAAAACACCAGTTTCTTGGTGAAGGACTGCAGAAAAATAAAGGACTGCAGAAAAAGGAAAAATTCTCTAGGGGAGCTGTAGATCATGTGAGGCATGGACTCTACTGAGACATCTAGGATTAAACAAGGTTGGAACAATTAATTTCTAAGTTGAAGCCTTTAATATATGTCCATTAGAGGCCTGACCTCTAAATTTGGGTGTGTTCTGGTATTTCTTTGAATGATTTCTGCAAAAATAAATCACTCTGCTTATTAACTCCTTTACTGACCACTGTTTAACAAATTTATCCTCTCTCTCAGCGCATACTTTGTGAATGAAGAAGATGAAAACCTGCCACATCATGACGAGAAAACTTGGTTTGTTGGGGATCTCAACCGTATCCAAGCAGAAGACTTGCTCTGTGGGAAACCCGACGGAGCATTTTTAATTCGAGAGAGTAGCAAGAAAGGATGTTATGCTTGTTCTGTGGTGTAAGTCTGTTTTCTTTTTGTTCTAAGTACTCAACTCATCGATCTCTACCACAGCTCTTTATTTTGGAGAACACAAGCCAGGCCTAGTCTAGGCCTACCCATTGGAACGTGTTACATGTTTGCAGGAAGTCTAGCATGGTAAAAGCTTTGTTGCAAAAAATGTGCTTTGAATGTGCAATAACTGTAATCCCAGCAGTCTCTGCAGTCACCACAGTAGCTAGTACAAAATTCTGAAGTATCCCAACTTGAAGTTCTACAGTCATAAGTAGATTAAGGCCAAATTCTCCCATATTCTTCCCTGCCAAGGAACAAATGGGAAGAAGAAAAACAGGGCTGTAAAGCTGTAACATCTTCCGTTCTCATTTTCAGACATGGCCAACTCTAGATGCTTTCTCTTGTTTGTTTAAGGTAACGATGATGCTTCAGAGGAGGCACTATTTGTGAGCAGTAGTTTTTGACATTCACACAACCTTGCATTGATTTCTTGTGTTTCACTTCGTTCTGTGCTGATGTAATGGAGGTCAGAAATACTTTGATTCCATTATCTAAAAATCCTTCAAGCCTGTTCTGGAGTGCAAAATGGCTTTCACTGATTTATTTCACATGAGGTTAATTGCTTCTGAAAGCAAGTCCAAGAAATGAATACGTGAAGGTATATCACCTCAAGGTAACTGAAGATTCTAGTATCTGCTGTGTTCAAGATACTGTTTGTCACAGTCACTGAAGTGATGGGTTCATCAGATACTTTCGCTTGGTTGGTATCATAGTACATATTCCCAGCTAGCAAAGAGATGGCATAAAGTAACCTGTTCCTACATGTGACTTGGATCGTAATAGGCTCCAGTACAGGGATTACATAATACTTGATCTTTCTGGCAGCTAAGTTTTTCTAGCAGCTTTGGAAATACTGTGTTGCAGTAACTGCTTTGCCAAGTTAGGCACTCAGTCACTATGACTTCAGATAATGAACCAACTTGAACCTGTGCCATGCTTAACATTAAAAACTGCACACTGAAGGTTAGTGCTGCATTTCATGAAATACTCTGCAGGTCCTAAGAATTTGTGGGGTTTGGCTTTTTTGCTTAATGGAAAGGCTTCCAGATAAGTTGAGCAGACAGCCTTAGTTGACTTCAGGTGCTTATCTTCTCAGCTAAGCTCTTGACTTTTTTTTTTTTCCAAGAAACATTTGGAGAACAATGCAGTAGGGAATTATACTGCTGGGATAGAAGAGGCCTCTTATGTGGATTATTATGCAAGAGTGTTTAATCGCATGCCCTGGAGCACTGTTTCTTCACAGACTATATTAATCTCCGCTAGTCGCATCTACTGGGTCCTCCATTATGTAATTTAGTGACTGGCAGGTTGCTGCATTAGTTAATTGTTAATAGACTGTCACTTTGGGTTTGTCCTTTGATGTTAAACTCTCCTGTTTCCTTTCTTTGCAGAGCTGATGGAGAAGTGAAACACTGTGTGATCTACAGCACTCCAAGAGGTTACGGGTTTGCAGAACCGTATAACCTGTACAGCACACTCAAGGATTTGGTTCTTCATTACCAGCAGACATCCCTTGTCCAGCACAATGATTCCCTAAATGTCAGGCTTGCCTATCCTGTCTACGCACAGATGCCCCCCTCTCTCTGCAGATAAATTTTGGGGAGGAGGAAAGTGTTGGCTATCTTGGATTCTTTTCTACAGTTTTTATTAGAACTTGGAGGGCATTCTTTCTCCTTAGACTGCTTGTTTTGCACAAGAAGTGATTCTGTGAATGTGAATCAAAAAGAGGCCTAGCAGCAACAAGATGACAACTTGGGTGTAGGTGTCCTGGTGCTACCTTAAAAGCTCAGCTGTGCTTTTACACTGATATTTTTGTTTCCTTATGAGGGGAATAAACTCAGCGCAATGCATACAAAAATACTGGAAGCAAAACATCGTTTTATGGAAGTAGTTTTTTGCCAGGCACCTTCAGTGGAACTTCTAATTGGATTTTGTTTTCTCTTCTTCTTGTAGAGACAATTTGAAGCCTCTGTTTGAGGCAGCAGTAATGTCTTTCAGTCTTAAGCTCCCAAGAAACTGGGAGGGAAAAACTCTACCACAGCAATTCTTCTCTGTTAATTTTAGCAGCTTCACTGCGATTCAGCCGAACTTCCAAAAGAGGGCTTGTCTTGAGGTAGCATGGAATTTGGTGAGAGAAGACCAAAGGAATTACGAGAAAGCTTCAGCTTTTTATTTAAATGGAAAAAAGCTTGTAAAGAAAAGTTGCTTTATTTTTTTGCCAACAGTAACAAAGTTTTGGTTTCAATGGCACTACAGGTCTTCACTTAAAGGAAATGTTTATAACCAAATTGAACACACCAAAACTTTGTTCGTTGCTAGATTGAGCACTTACAGGGAAGGTTGCATTAGCATCCGCACGTACTTTCTACACCAAAACTTGAAACAAATAAAAGGAAAAGCTAAACATTGTGTGGCTACAAAACACTAAATTTGTCTGATCTGATGTAATTACTCGCTCTCTTCTTTCTTCACCCTCCTCCCTCCCATTCTTCAGCTTGGGATTCTGTTTTCAGTTTTTAATGATACTGTGCTTCAGAATGTAAACTAGAATGAAGCTTGCACTCACCTGTTGCAGTTCTCTTGCTGAACAATGACAGACTCTTGTAATGCTTGATTTTGGTATAGAAGAGGTAGGTGCAATTGAATGCTTCTGGATGGCTTGCTGTACCAAATTCTTTCATGAGGTGTAGTCATTTCCAGCTGTATAGAAGTGAGCATGCTAATTATAGATCTCCTCTGATTTGTTCTTTGCAGGCTAGGTTCTGAGCTCTCACACCACTGCAGCCAAGCAAGATTTTCCACTGGTATAATCTAAAGTCCCTTGTAGTTATTTTGGACATGGTGCAAAACATAGGAAGAGAGCCGTACTCCTCAGTTATTGGATGTGTGGTACCATCCTTTGGCAAGGGCTGCTGTCAAATACTGGAGTGGGTAGTCCTGGGCTTCGTCAAGTATAGCAATCATTCAATAAATCCCCTCCCTGGAAAGTATACAAAGCAGCTTATTTCCATTCCTCAAGCTTCTAAAATGAAAAAGAGCTAAATTTGGCAAACGGAACCACTTGGCGTCAAAGCACAACTGGCAAAGTAATTGTTCAGTGTGCAACCTTGAGGGTTCCTTTTGCTCCTGTTACTGGAAGCGGTTCCCTTGCAGTGTACCCATTGTGCAGGACAGGAAGCAGACAGTCCTACAGATCTGAGAGTGCTCTAGACCTGTTTCTGACCCTGGGGCTTATTTCCTGTTCAGATGGGTTTTTCCTGTAACGCCTGGGCAGTAGTGCCAGGCTTGTTGGTGGTTATTGTTTACACTAGAAGTATTATTTCACTGAATGTCATGAATTTGCAAGCAGGGAAGTGACAAGGCTGAGGCACTTCCAGCTGTTGCAGGAAGGGTAATCTGGTTGCCTGGCATGCCTGGGAGATGTTTTATTTTGCACTAAGGACCCTGATGTGTCCCAGGCACTTTCTAATCAGCCAGAGTGCAACCTTCAGGCAAAGAATTCTGTAGATACCCCTTTTCTAATAAAATAGAACACTACAAAACTTAACCAAAACTGAGTGAAGGAGAAGAAAATAAATGCAAGCTGCTATGTCAGTGTGACCCACATCTGCTTGTGTGTCCCTTCTCTCCCACTTCCCCAAGAAAAGGAAAAGGAGATGTAGCCTTGAAAATCTCAAATGGATTCCTCAGTGGTATATGGACATGGAAATTTTTCTTTTTAAAGAAACTTGTCGTACTGCTTGGATAATTTGCAGTTCTAATCTGGTAGCTGTAAAGCTGTCACTCTCACCTCTTGTGCATCTAGTGTTCCCGTGGTGCTGGGCTGAGTCCAAATGCCCACTGAGGGAAATCAGTTCAAAGGCACAAATGATAGCCAGGTTCCTCATGCCTCTGAAAAAACCTGTGTGAGAGGAGTGTCTCGCTGTTTTCTCTGCCTTTGCAATCTCACTGGGCTCTCCTCTTACAGTTCTAATGTTAGAGGCTGGTGGGGTACATATTTCTGATCCCTGTTTTTGGGATGGGGGAATAGGGACAACCTGGCTGAAGTGCTTCACATCAGCCTTGTTTTTTAGATAGGACTCAGTTTTGTTTTAAGCAAGTGCAGGTCTACTTTCAGGGCCATAAATCCTGGCACACCCTCGCAGTACTGACAGCAGCGGGATAGCAAAGTGGGACTGAAGTTTCCCTGTAGTGGAATCTGACTGATCCTGTGAGGTCTTGGTCCAGGCTCCAGCCCTGGCTCTGCCAAGGTAAATACAGTGTAATTCCATTGGTGTCTGAGAAGGTAGCTTGGCTCTGTAGTGGTGTGAGTGAGTTTGGATTCTGGCCCCTCGCTTTCTGAGATCTCTTTGCTCATCACAGGTGATGTATTTGCTGTGAATGATGCACTCAGAGCCAATAAGCCATCTTGAAGCATTCTTTGAAATTCTTTTTTGCCCAAACCTTCAGATCAGGGCTGTGGGCAGACTATGCCCCTCTTCCTTGTGTTTGGCTCCGTTATCCTCTGCAGTCTCTCTCAGGCTGTGTTTTGCCGCTGTATCTCTTTGTGTTTGGTTTAGGCACCTGAAGTCCCAGCTGCTACGATTGCTTCCCTTTGACTCTCGCGTGCCATTGCACAGACTCTTTTTTGCATCCATTTTGCACTTGTAGGGCAAATGAAGATGGGTATAAAACAGACTGATGTGTGTAGCTGGTGTGGTCCACAGGACGAGGGCTTGGTCCTGCTGCAGTCATTGTGCTCGGCCTAATTCTGTTTGCTCGGTAGCGTTAGACCTGTGAGAGGACTCACGGCTTCCAGGAGCTGTTCACTTGCATGGCTGAGAAACCAGAAATGGGCCTGTGAGGTGCAGGATTATACCCTAGTACAAAAAGCAGCCGTTAAGCCTAAGACAAATACAGGAAATGTGAACATAAAGGCAAAACAAAGGAACTCAAGTTCTTTTAAGACAGTAAGATTCGAGAACGTTTTGGTTTCAAGTCAAAACATCGGGAGGAAAGAGGGGGAAATAGTCTCCCTGTTGTAGCAGCCGTCAGGTATCGGACTGCAGTTAGAGGAGTACTGATCTCATTGACCCATATTGTATTAAATATATATGTAGAGTTAAATAAATAACTTTTGCACAGTGTTAAATGGGGGTGGGGGAGATGTTGAAACTCGAATATGCACAGTTTCTTCTACTCTGTTTTGAAGTATATTTGCAGGGATCAGGGGGTGATTCAGTATTTTGTATTTGTATGGATGGAAATCAGGTCTACTTCCACAGTTGCCATTGGCCTCATTGCGTCAGCCACGAGTGCCATGTTTTTGAAGTTAGTAACTTATAAATCTTTTCCCACTAGTTTCTTTATTGATTACAAGTAATCTTAGAATGGGAAGAACCAACCTAGAAACAGAGGGGTGGCCTGACAGATGCTTCACTAGTATGTGAAGCAGTAATGTGTGATCAGCCACCTTCTGATACTGGAGTGCTCTGGATTTGGTGTTGGGTTTTGTTGGGTTTTTTTAGAAGCGATGGTATGAGGCAACTGCTTTGCACCACTGGTAGTTGCAGCCTAGAGTTATATCCAGTACAGCCCTCTGTCTTATGCCAAAAATAAAATGCTCTTTCCACACTTATCTCTTTTGATGTGGTGGATGGTCAAGAAGTTTTCCATTTAATGTGATGGGCCCGATTCGTTTCTCACTGACACTAGCACAAGCAAGACTTCCACAGCCGAAAACCATTCCCAGGAAAAGACCTTGTATTCGTCCTACTTGAATTCAAGTCACAATGGGGCAAAAATCAGAGTTTGTCCTTTGCAAAGGCAGGCAACTGTAATGGGAACTGTGGAAGTGAATGTTGACACTTAGTGCTGTTTTGGGGAGAAGAGGGGAGGAGAGGGGTCTTGGTTGCCCCAACTCCTGGACTCTCTGCAGGCTTGGGTGGCACCGGGTCCGTAACTGAACGCTGTGGCTGTTTAAAACAGCAGAATTGCTATAGGAGTGGCACACCTTAAGTTTGGAAAAGCCCCTTATTTGGTACTTGAACAATCTCACTTCTGTTTTGAATGTCTGTTTATTTTTTATTTTTGTTACACTAACAGGGAATAAAAATCTGAAATGTTAGTGAGTCTTGTATGCTTGCTGCATTGTGCAGACGTGAAACAGGTACTGCTTGTGGTTCGGGAGGGGTAAGAGACAGGTTCAAAATGCAGTTTTACAGAGCACTATGATGGGTTGGGGGTTGTTTTGTTTAGATCATGTTTAAAATGAGATATTCTTAAGTTTCTTTATGTTGATTTGCAGTCTCTGCTTTTGGAACAGCAAAATCAAAATAACATTCCTAAGGAACAAAGATGCTGTGAGGGGAGGGAGGTTAGGCTTGCTCAAATTCAGCGTTCAAAGCAAATAGCTTTAATGAAGAGGAAGGGTTGACATCTTAAAGATCTCTCTGGTTGTAGTTCCATGAAACAGTAGACAGACCACGGAGCAGAAACTCCACCTTGAACCATGAAACAGATGCCAGAGCAGACCCTTCCCTTTGTAATAATTGGTTGTACTCTCCTTAAACGTATGTGCAAGGAGATAGGAAATTAGTAGAAGTCCTTAATGAGTTGTACCTCTTTCTGTATGGGAAGGGAGCTTGGACTGCCGATCCCCTGTTTCCCTTGGCACAAGGTGTGCAGCCAGGAGAAGGGAACCAAGTTACTAGCCCGAATAAACGCGGGCCTGTTCATGAAGCAGCTCGGCTAGTTAAGTACTGCGTGAGGCGTAGCTTTGGATGGGGTTAGGCAAAGTTTGTCCAACATTTTTGTGAATCTTGCATTCTGTGGGCAGAAATACTTTCCACTGAATGGGAAGGGGGGGAGGAAAAAGTCTCTCATGAAATCTTTTCAGCTCCTTCCTGTTTGTTCACAGGGGTGGATAGGCAGCTTTAGCTTATTAACTGTGTAGATGATGACAGTGCTGGAAGTGCTGGTCTCTGGGGCTGGCTCCATACAATTAATGCAGAATTTGCTTTTATTAAAAATTGTATTGGCATAGACTCGCTGTATTTTATGACTAGACTCACCATTTGTTCAGAAATTTGCCTTTAAAAAAACCTAATGTGAGCTTCAGAGGCAAAAAAAAAAAAAAGTGAGAACAGGACTTTATGGGTAGAAAAACCGTCTCATTGATCAACCCGTATTAGAGAAAGCAGCTTTAATTTGAGGCCCCCCTCCACCACCTTCTTTTGGGATTGCTTCTGTGAGACGAGTGCTGGCAAACGAGGGGGCTGAGGTTTCCCCCTGTACTCAGCAGAGTTGTACTTGTGCGCTCGCCAAGTGCTTGTTGCAAGGGGCTTGGGATCGTTTGGAAAAATTATTGCATCCAAAGACAAAAAAAAAAGTGTCCAAGAGTGAATCTCACCCCCCGGT